TCCTTCACTCAGAGGAAAATCACTATAGAAGCCACATCTATAGCTAACACGATGTTAATCCTGCATAAAGGTGTCCTGACATCAACAAAACCCTAGAGTAAGAAATTCTGACATGTACAAATCACATCACAGAGTAGCATGGCATAGCAAACAAACCAAAAGGTTGTAGGTTCAAACCCCACAAAAAATGTTACGTGAATTCTGTGTCCTGTATTAAGTACTTTAAATCACTTCCAAAGAGCCAGTTAACTGACAAACTATTTGACAGTAGCATGCCCTAGAGAGGAATTGTTGAATTTGTTTTCTTTGCACACAAAAAGTATTCTCTGAGCTTCATAAAATTAAGGTTGAATATTATTTTAACATTGTCTTCACTACCTTTATGGGCCTTAAATGTAGTAGTTGCACTGCTGTCTATGCAGGGTCAGACAACTCTTTTGATTTCATCAAAAATATCTGAATTTGTGTCCCGAAGATGAATGAAGGTCTTACTGGTTCGGAATGATATAAAGGTGAGTAATTAATGACAGGATTTTCATTTTTGGGTGAACTATCCCTTTAAGAAAATGGTGACTAATTTTTCATTTTTTTAAACTCACATAAATATGCTCCACAAAGGATTTGGTCAGAAAAGCCAAAATTTGGATCAATCTAAATGAATTCCATTGAGTTACAGATTAAAAAAAAGTTACATCTGAAAACAAATGATGTGAGAACCTTTCTTAGCCATTTTGGTGCATTAGGTTTAACCAATTTAGGTTCAACCAAAACCAACCCAAACGAATATACAGTATAATATTTTGTTACGTAATGCAAAGACATTCATAAATTTAAGCGTGGCCTAGGTATCCAGATACTTTTTGGGGTTACTGCCAGTATTCACAGACAAAAAGTGAAAAGTCCAGTTTTATTTGAAGTAGTGCGCTGGTGTCTGGTCATTAGCTCCAAAAGGCTAATTAGCACAGGGGTCTCTGTGTGTGTATAACCTTGTGTGTTGGTCCCTAGGGTTTGAGTTTCTTTTAAAAATCTCCCTCTTTAAAGATAATTAAGTCCTCCGCTACTGACATTAAACAGCACCTTCGTCACTTTTAAAGGGCAAGACTTCCTTCTCATCCCAAATACTGCATTTCATACAACTATATCTCTTTCCGCTCTCTCCATTCCTCCCACTCGTCCTACTGCCTGCGTCTCTCTTCCTCTCCTCCCTCTGTTCAGCCCACTAGCAAAGCAAGACATCAATCTTGTGCCGTCACAGAGTGTGTCAGGCTTTGACCCAGCTGGAGTGGAGCAGGAAAAGGCCTTGCTAAAATTGAGTTAGCTCATGCAGCATGCGCTGCCACTACACACACACACAAACACACACACACACACACACACACACACACACAAACTCTCCTGAGTCCTCAAAACTCATTTTGAATTGCCACTGTCTGACAGTTACATACATAGCCAACAAAACTAATATTGAATGTGTTCATGCAGGACATTACAGCACAAGGACACACACATATTCTATATATAATCTATAAAGCAAGCAAACATTTTACCCCTGTAATAAGAACAGAGCCTTTCTTCCTTCAAAGGATAACATGAAATTTAAAAAAAACTCACTATTTCAAAGTATTGCAACATTTCACCTCAATATACTTTGTCAGAATATTAAAAATAATGATAATTTTGTTAAATTGTTCATGTTTTAGAAAAAATGAGTTCAATATTTTTGGGTAAAAAAAGAGATTTAGGTTAATACATACTCACACAAGATTATTTCTATCTGACCAAACCTGAACTCAGAAATAGCTACAAATATAGCAATTTCCAATACAGATGAAAGAGAAATTAGTAAATAAAATACCAATATATAGGCCTAAATCACAGTAATTACTGTACACTAAATATAAATAACCATAATATTATTGTGCACTGTAAAAATGCTTGCAATTTTTACAGAAAAAATAATGTTACCTTACTATGTACAGTGAAAAACTATTAATACTTTAACATTACATTATATGCAATTTTAGTGGAAAATACTGTCAAAATTGTGGTTTTTGAAAGTAAAAACTATGGATTACTATTTAATTATTGGTGAAAGAAAACCACAGGTGTTGTTTTTTTCTTTACATTTTTTGGTATTATTTTTATAATTTTATATTTTTTTAAGTAGTCGACTATTATTATTATTATTTTGATGTGTACTGAATCATGTAAAACATGACTAAGGACATATGGGCTCTACAGTGCAACCATTTCAGTCGCATTTGCGACTGAAAACTACTGCGTGCGACTATGAAAAAATATTTAGGAGCACCTGTGCGACTGACCCGATCAGCATATTTGTGTTTGCGCTGAGGAAGCTTCAATGGTTTCTAACGTACTTACAATGTGTTTTTGCAGCGTTGAGTAATGTATCACAGACGTATCCTCTCATTATAACAAACAAAGTGTAGACAGAGTGTAAATAAAAGAATTCATTGTGCAGTGTAAGGAGCTTCGTTGATTATAATGGAGTTTTGTGAGATCGCAATGAACTAATATGAGTGACAGCTTTTAATGATTATTAAGGGAGTTTGCAAATGTGCTATTCATTTCAAACAGTTCATTAAACAAGAATTTAATAAGTGACTTATATTGTCTGACTACAACACTATTGCCTTATTTTGCTCTATTTCGTCAACGAAAATAGTTTCAAACAAAGCAACAGCTGAGCCGCTGCGCATCTCCATTCCAACACAGTGGTGTTTCGTTTATGAATGAACTGCGTTTTTAAACGAATCTAGTGAGTCAATTATTCAATTACAAGACAGTCACATACTTCGTTCCTGAATGAATCAGCCGTTCAAACGAATCAAACAAATGAATGATTCAGTGATAAAATCAGTGACTTGCCGCCACCTGCTGGCAGTTTTAGTTTCATTTTTAAAGTATCTTTTCTGTTATTTATTTAAATCATTTAATATTTCTATATTCAAAATTGTATACTTAAAACGAATTTAATTGCACTCATGCGACCTCTGAGCCTCATTAAACGTCTGAAAATATACCTACAAGCCACTTGTGTGTTCTTCTGTGCCACCTCTGTAGTACAAATTTATTTCTTAAATACTGATTTCATTTGATTGGTAACTTATTCTTATTCTACTTTTTATTCTGTTGTTGTAATTAGAAATGTTAAAAAGCTTATACATTTTTTTTTTTTGATAAAAGATGATATACTTAGAAAAAATGCCATTACAAAGGTAAAACAAAATTCCCTCAAATCACTTTAAGGAGTCAAATATCACCTCGTAATGGGAAGGTTAATTTTTTATCAGAATTTTTAATTATTGATTAGAAGGTGCTCCTAAATTGTTGACCATGCTCCTACATTTTTTAAATTAGGAGCACAAGCGCTCCTAAAAAGAAAAGAAAGCTATTAAAAAAATAGATTATTTTTAAGCAATTTAAGCTTGATTTATACTATGTTGAATGTTCTAAAACAAAATTCAACAGTATCTCTTGAGCTTGGACTGCCTTCTAGATATCTAAATGAGTCCATCCTTCTCTTTCTCTCTGTTTAGAAGTGCTCACCTTTCCCAGCTGTCCAATCAAAGGGCCTTGCTGCCAGGGGGCCCGGCTTCTGTCTAAACACCCGCTGTCGCAGAGACGACCCTGCAACCTTTGGCATCATTTTGACAGACAGCCAGGTGACTGGTTTTAATATTAATATGTCCCCCGTGCTGAGAAGAGATTCTATTTGTGTTCGGCTGAGGGAGAGCAGACGCTTTTTAAAAGTCAGGCAGCAGCCCTCAGTCCTTCACTGTCTCCTCAGGATGAACCGAACAAACAGAAGCAAGTGTGAAAAAGAACTAAAGAAAAGTGTGCTCCACACAGCTGTCAATTTATCATTCTCTCTCCCTCACCTTACAGCATCTCATCCTGGTCCTGCCCTACTTCATTCTGTCTCTCGACCCAATCATTCTTCCTTTTTCCTCTTCGCTATTATTTCAATTCTCTGTTCCCTCACTTTTGACGATACCCCTCTCCGAGTGCTGGACAGGTGTCAGGCCGTTCACACACCCTGCACAAAAAGGGTCCTACTGCACCACTCACACTCAACTGCAAAGGTCACAGTAAAGTGCAAATAAAATACCAATCCTGCATTATTCAAAGGACACCTTAGCGCTGATAGAAAAAGAGAAAAGGGTTTAAAGGGAAACAAATCTATAGTCTTAGCCTTATTAACTGCGAACACTGTCTCCCTCAGAACTCCAAAAGAGCTGTGGGACACCTTGATACAAAAGACAAAACTACTAACCAACACTGGAGGACTACAATTCACCTCAACTTCTGAATGGTTGTGTCTCACAAACAAACCTACCTAGACAGCATGAAGGGCATCATTACAGTGTTCGCATGCACTCAACAGGAGCAGGAACACATGCATTCAAATTCTGTTTCTCAAAAGTGTTTCTTTAGTAATAATAATAATAATTCCTTATGGGTTACAAGAACAGCTAACCAATTTGTTCCCTTCACCAGCTTAACGGCAGCCACATAATAAGTCATCTTTAGGTAGTAAATAACTGTCCTGCTGACAATTATACAGTATTATAACACACTGGGTGATGGCTTACTCTACAGCTGCAGTAGAACACACAGTAAACCTCCTCATTACACACAACACTGACAGCTTTAAGCCTGTTTGTTAGACATATAGCTAATATTAGTGTACTTGTACAAGATGTATTCTATAGGTCTTTAAACTTGCTTGCACAGCAAGAATGGATTGTCTTGGATTCAACCGTGCTCACGCTGGATAAATAAAGACTGACTCTAGAATGGATCCAATGCTCTATTATGAAATGATTTCTAACCAAGTAGCTTGAGAACAGCTCATCAGCTGAACCTGTGTATAGGACGGCATTACTACCACCTCAAAGAATTAGTGACCGGTACTAAACAAATCGAAACATTTGAAATGTTCTTCTTAAAAGTGTTGATCAAGACCATCATCTTACCTCATATTCTTCGGCCTCGATCAGCAGTTTGGCTGTTGTTATTCTGGATTCATAAGGCAGGATGTTGCTCTAAAACAAAAAAACAATACAGTAAATATTAACTGAAAGGAAAATTAGTTAAGGATCATAAAAGTCTTGATGATGTGATTTGATAAAGAAAATTATGAAAACTTATTTTCCATATATTTTCATAATTATAGAAAAAAAGGCTACTCTTTAACAACTAATTTACAAAAATGAATTAGAAAATAAATACACTATTCCAAAATTTTAAACCATTCAAAAGATTTTTTTTTTACTGTTTTTGATTAAAGACTCCTATGCTCACGAAGGCTGCATTTATTATTTTTATTTTTATATTAATATATTTTAAAATAAATATTTTTCTATTTTAATATATTTTAAAATGTAATGTATTCCTGTATTGGCAAAGCTGATTTTTTTTAAGCAGCCATTACTGTTTTACAGGATTACATTACTGGATTACAGTCCTCAGTGTCACATGATCCTTCAGAAATCATTACAATATGCTGCATTTGTGTTCAAGAAACATTTCTAATTATTACTGAAAACAGTTTTGTTGCTTGATTTTTAATGAATTACAATTTATTTGAAATATAAATCTTTTGTTTGTACCCATGTAAAAGTCTTTACTGTCACTTTTGATCTATTTAATGTGTCCTTGCTGAATAAAAGTATTAATTGCTTTTCTTTTAATGTACATTGTTTATTACTGAATATTGTTTGTATTGCATCTACTGGAAAATGTCTATGAATAAAATTACAAAACTGACAAATAGTTTGAAAGATTTGCACTCTTTGGACTTCAAACACTGCATTTGTGCAGAAGAATTAAAGTTGACGTTGAAGGTATTGTCAATGGCAATCGACAGTATACCACAAATGCTTTCAATAAACCTTTCATAAATCTCATTTTTTACTCACAACGTTGCTTAAATTTGGTAGGTAATTTTCTTCATGACATTACTGCAAATAATACAGGTGTTTAATAACTATTTTAGGATAGAAAAAGCCAAATAGAGTATTGTCTACTAGCAAGAAAAGGGGAAACATCTTTAGATTTGCATTTGTCCATTAAATAAATAAAAGTTCTGGTTGTGACTGAATTTTTTTTAAGGTCTCAATGGACATTTCAATAATCCCACTTTATAAAGACTATTTACTTAGTCAATATATTATCATCACACCATCAAGGTCACCATCTGTTGTGTTAATTGTAGCCTGTCTGTGATGTTGTATTGTATACAAACACAATCTCTCATCTCTTTACTGAATAAATGGTTTTTGTAAAGAGTTGATAAGAGCTCTGAACCCAGATTACATCATGCTTTAAAGGTCCCATGGCATGAAAATTTCACTTTATGAGGTTTTTTAACATTAATATGAGTTCCCCTAGCCTGCCTATGGTCCCCCAGTGGCTAGAAATGGAGATAGGTGCAAACCGAGCCCTGGGTATCCTGCTTCACCTTTGAGAAAATGAAAGCTCAGATGGCCCAATCTGGAAGCTTCCCTTTATGTCGTCATACGGGGAAAGGTTACCTCCCCTTTCTCTGCTTTGCCCGCCCAGAGAATTTGGCCCGCCCATGAGAAAATGAGCTACTACCGTGCGAGGCGAGCACAATATTTTTTTTTCCTCGAGACATCATGGCTTGCAAACAAGCGAAGCATGGCAGTTGCCCCGCCTCTCTCCTCCTCATTAGCATTTAAAGCTACAGACACAGAAATGGCACGTCCTAAGGAAAGCTCATTGTGGGACTGGCTCGTAGTGGCTGAAATTCTGCACCAAGGCTGAATTTCGGGAAAGAGACTTCAGATACAGTACTAGGGACCACTTAGGCCTATATAAAAGCATCCAAAAAGCAGCATGTCATGGGACCTTTAAACAAGCACATACTCTCCTACCTGCCAAGATTTTCCAAACGTCACACAAAGCAGCATCTACATATGACAAATTAATGTCTAGTGCCAGAAAGTTTCCTGAAATTTTAACCAGCAGGAAAGTAAACAACTTTTATAAATTCCCTCAGCGAGTCAGTTCAGGTGAGGCTTGTTTTTCTGTTTCTTCAGCCGCGTAGAGCCCTCCTTAACAGATGAACTGCAAAGATTCATTTAGTCACACGGAAATGAAAATATGTCTTTGAATAAGCATGAAACTTGTAGCCTTAAGCAAAAAAATGTTTTTAAGAGTCACAAGACTGTCAGCGGTGAAGCGTGGTCACTCGATGAAGGATCTGTCTGTGTGTGTGTGTGTGTGTGTGTGTGTGTGTGTGTGTGCGTGCATGTGGCCCCAGGGCCACCCTTGCGGCAGACTGCCACAGCCTTGGCCTGGCGTTGAGAGAAAAATTAAAAGATAAAATAAGCTAGTTTGTTTCTTTTCTTCCCTTATATTTCCCAGACTAAAAACTTTTTAAGCACAGTACTATTTCGTTCCATGTCATCAGAAAGAGGTCAAAGGAGAGGTCATGATACATCCTATCTTTATCTCTCCGTTGCCTTTGGAACACAAACACCTGTGCTCACACCTTATTCTGATCTTCTTCCTCCTCCATGTCATGCTCTGTGCTCGCCAATGACTCTTCCTCTTTCTGTAGGCTAGGTAACCATGACGACACGCTCTTCTTCAGGTACTCACGCCCCTCCTACATAAAAACATAACAACAAAATTGAAAGAGCCTCTCCTCTAGGTATGCTGATTGTAAAAATATGCTTCTTTCAGGAAAAGGTATAGGATGAGAGGAAGTAGGATATGAGGAATTAGGAAGTAGAATAGGATGACAAGTAGTAGGATAGGACAACAGGATGCTCTACAAGAAGAGGGGAAGTGGTATAGGATGAGAGAAAGTGAGAGAAATTAGGATAACCGGTAGTGGTATGAGATGAAAGGAAGTAGTAAAAGATAAAAGGGAGTAGAATATGTTGAGGATAGGAAAATAGGAATTAGGTTAGGGAGAGAGAAAGTAAGACAGTCTAAAAGGAAGTAGCATATGATGCAAAGCAGCAAGAAAAAGCAGGGCCATTAAAAAGTGGTATACGATGAGAGGAAGTAAGATGATAAGATAGGTAATAAGATGGGATGAGAGAAAACTTGTGACAGAGAAAATAGAAAGGGATATAAGAAACTAGGAAGAGGAATAAAATGACAGGAAGTAGAACAGGACACCAGGAAGCTCTATAAGATGAGGGGAAGTGTTGTAGGATGAGAGGAAGTCACAGAGTAGACTGACAGGTAGTAAAGGATAAGAGGAAGTAGAATATGTTGAGAGGAAGTAGGTAAGAAACAATAAGTCAGAATGAGAGGAAGTGATACAGGATTTAGAGGAAGTAGTACTGTATATGATGAAAAGAAGTAGGAAAATGCACAGGCAATAAAAAGTAGTAAAGGATGAGAGTAGGTAACAGAAATTAGAATAACAGGTAGTGGTATGAGGAGGTAAAATACAGAATAGGATGAAAGGAAATAGGTCAGGGTGAGAGAAAATGAGATGAGGAAGTGATAAAGGATGAGAGGAAGTGGTACTGTATATGATGCAAAGAAGTACTGTAGAAAATAGCATGAGCAATAAGAAGTAGTATAGACAGAGGAAGTAGCAAAGCATGAAAGGAAATGAAAACGTAGGATAACAGGTAATAGTGCAAGATGAAAGAATGTAGGATAGGAGGAGTGAAAGTAGTAAAGGAGAAGAGAAAATAGAATACATTGAAAGGAAGTGTGATAGGACAAAGGAAGTAAGTCAGAGTGAGAGAAAGTAATATAAGATGAGAGGAGACCTTACAGCATGACAGGAAGTTCCACTGTATGTTATGAAAATAAGAAATAGCAAGTGAATAATATGTGGTATAGGATGAGAGGAAGTAGCAAAAAGCATGAATAAGATGAAGCAAGATAAGAGAAATTGGTAAAGGACAAGAGGGAACAATACATGAGATGAAAGAAAGAACAGGATGAAGTGAAGGATCATCGGATGTAGAATATGTTGAGAGGAAGTTACTATGAAGTTGGAATATAAGTGAAAGTGAAAAGTGAAAGTGACGTGACATGTGGCCAAGTATGGTGACCCATACTCGGAATTAGTGCTCTGCATTTACCCATCCAAAGTGCACACACACAGCAGTGAACACACACAAACCGTGAACACACACCCGGAGCAGTGGGAATATATGTTGTGAAGTAGGAAATTGTATGGGCAAACGCAGTGGTTTAGGATGAGAGAAAATGGTACTGAATGAGGAACATAGAAAATAACATGAATAAGATGTACAGGATAAGAGAACGTGGTAAATGACAAGAGGGAGAAACATTGGATGAGAGGCAGAGACATAGGATGAGATGAAAAAGTACAAGCCTGAAAAAGGGTTGAGGTTAGAGGACACAAAGAGACTCAAGTTTATGATTTTTGAGTCAAGTTTTGCTGTCAGCTTTCTGAATGGAAATGGAAGTGTCTTCTAAAGTGAAAATTCCCACAAATGTTACAACAGCTTTAAGCTGCAGACTGAAGCTCAACTCAGACCTGCTGGTCTTATGTCTGTTCGCCCCCTAGTGGTTCAGTGAGGAACTGCATCAAAGCGGGTGTGTTGGCACTAGTAGTAAATTTGTCCCACATTGAGTCATATTCAATAAGCTTGTTTTATTAATGGCTTGTAATTCATTAACTGTGACCTAACTCTCTCATCTGACATCGTCGCCTATCCCTCATTCAAAAACAAGTGTACATGCCCAAAACCTGCCTTTCTTAGTCACTCGTTCTCTCACACAATTTCTATCTGTGTCTCCTCAAAAATACATGACTCAGCTTTCTCAGCTTTTCTCCCAATTATGACTGCATAATGACCCACTGCTCAGAACGCTGCAGTGAACTAGAGAGACAGTGAGGGAACTCTGGGTAATTCACTCCGCAGTTGTCCTGTCGTATACCTCAGTTTTCTCGATGCTGAACAGGTAGCTGGCCATCAGCTGCAGAGCTTCAGGGTTGTGCTCGTCGTACTGTAAAGCTTTGTCGATGGCCTCTCTGCAACGGTCAGCAGCGCCCTCCTCCATGCTGTCAAACAATAAAGAGTTATAAAGCTAATTAAAGCACATAAAAGCCAGTCAGTGATATTAAACTCATGTGTAAGTACAATATTTGTTCATAAAAACCTGTGTGCAAACATTTTCACAAAGAAATTATGATCAATCAATATCTTAATGAAAAGACAAGAGATATTGAGAAAGGATAAGAAGAGAACAGGATAATAGGTAATGATATAAAGTGAGAGATACAGGACGAGAAGAAGCATTATAGGATAAAAGGAAGCAGGGTAGAATGAGATCAAGTGCTATAAGATAAAAGGAAGTAGGGTCATCATACAAGTTAAGAGCATGTTGGATAAGATAAGAGAAAGCAAGGATGAATGAGAGGTAATAGGAACCAGTATATAATAAGAAGTAGGAGGATGAGATGCGGAAGTAGGAAGAATAGAAATTTCATAATTCTTGTCACCAATGTCAATATCACAAAAGTTAATATTAGCCTAAAAATAATAAAAATAAATAAATAAATAAAAACCTCAAGCTCACTCAAAACAAGTAAAAAGTCATTGATTGAATAACAATAAGAAACTAATTAAAAGGAACAGGACAAAAACTGCAGTAGAACAAATGAATAAGAAATGCTACAAACATTGTATAAATTAATCAAATGTATAAAAACACTGCATATTCCTCACTGTGTAAATGAAATACATATTTCTTCTTATTAAAGCTTATTAAAGTGATTTAGTCAAGAGCAGTGAGAGATTTTCTCTCATTTGTTGTTTGATTAACATGAATGACAGACAACAAGAATATTATGGTGCTTTTGCACAGCATGGTACGGCACTGCATGGCTCACTTTTGGGGGTTTTCCACTGTGTACAGTACCTGATACCGGGTACTTTTTTCGTACCGTTACCAAAATGTGACGTGTAAACCCTGCTGATCCCTGATTGGCCGGAGAGAATCGCCACTACCTGCGTCACTGAACTTGCGACACGAGACACCAGACCCGCTATACTGTACTTAAATCAGCACAACCAGCGAAGGATCGAACGCAACTGTTTTGAACGAGCGCACCTTTTCATGGTCTGTTGAGGAAGTACAGATGTTCCTCTCATTGATAGCAGAGGAGCGGATCCAGCGAGAGCTTGATGGGGCGACGCAGAATGAAAACGTTTTTCAGGAGGTCGCTCAGCTCTTGGCTGCGACGTGTATAATCCCGCCCACTCTAAAGTGGTACTAAACTGCAGTGGAAACGTAAACCAAGCCCCAAGCTGAGTCGTACCACGCAGTGGAAAAGCACCATTCGACTGCTGTCACTTTAAGAGCTGCCCGGATCCAACATCCTGTTTTCTTTCTCAGTTGTTTGCTTTCACTTAAGACCTAAATTACGGTGTACGAGGATACTTGCAAAGACGGCCCTTTTGTTTGTGTATTTAACTGTTCAAGGCCTATAAAGTGGCAAAAATAACTTAGTTCAATAATCCAGCGTTCAATGAGCACTGTGTTCGGTATATCGCCCACCCCAAAATGGAAGTAAGGAGAGTGGTAAAGGTTGTGAGTAAGATGTGTTTGTATTTAATCATAAAAACCTGACAAATAAGTTTGAACTTTCTAAATTTAGAATAAATATTTAGAACCACCTGAAACCACACATAAAACTTTTCAGCTTTTTTTTTTGCTTGTGCATATATAAATATACTGTATATAGATGAATATTATATATGGGTCAAAGAAACAAAAGTTTTCTGAGCAAAAATAATGACAATCATATATTTTTACCATGATTTACAAAAGACATCCAGTAAAATGTCATTCAGTGTAACAATAGTTCATCAGGCATATTTAGAACAAAAATCATTGGATGACCTTAAAAGACTCATGAAAAGACTTATGGGTAATCACATTGCAGCCTCTAAAACTAATCAACTGCATTTTTTAATCTGTACCAGTCTTTGCCACTATTCTTCAAACCACTAGGTTTTACCCATTTGTCAGTAAGAAGTTTTAATCATTTAAAATATAAAAAATTAGTGTAATTACTTTTTCTTTTATATATTTTAATAAGTACGTCAGATTAAGCATGTTGTTTCATTTTTACATACATATATCTGTTACACTGAATGATTATGGAACATTATTTCACCCATATTTTGAATTTTATTTTTACAAAGTTATCTGAAACATTAAAGTAGACACTTTACTTGCATTTAATATGCTTTTTAATTTAATGCAGACACCAAAATGGGACACATCAAATATGTATTAGAATTAAATGCATTTTTGGAACTATTTCAAAGTAACACACACAATGTCTACACCAAAAAATTACAAGTTTGACCAATAATTGAACTAAACAAGAGTTTCCACATCACCCAGGGGCATCAACACTAGTGAAGAAAATGTTATTTGTTAGCACACACACTCTGTCCTGCTCTTGATTTTCCAGTTATCGCCTGCAGCAAACATCTACCACAACAACAACCCTGATACACACGTACAACCATACAGTACATCAAGAGCAAAGGCACAGAGACGTACTGTACTTTGCTAGAGGCTGCTGCTGTACCTTCATAATGTACACCAATGCGTGAAAATGGAATGGTGCTTACTTAGTCAATAAACCTGACCTTTCCCTCATGCTTTGAATTTCAATCTCAGGGTTTGAATGAAGTTGTGTCGTGCCAAGATCCTCGGCAATCAACACTAAGCGCATCTCCAATCCAAATCTACTTTTCATCTCTCTCCTACCATACCATTACTCCAATCCTGAATTCCCAACCCTCTTCCTCTTTCTATCCCTCTATCAACCAGTCTGTGATTAGATTTTTTCTGCAGGCCTCAGAGCAGATGGGCTCCAGTCTGCAGCGTCCCAGGTGTGTAATGTCTCTCTGTCTGTCTGTCTGTCTGTGTGTGTGTGTGTGTGTGTGTGTGTGTGTGTCATATCTCAGCCGGTACAGAAAGCCAAAAAGGTTGAGAAATGAAAAGAGTGAGAAAGGCCAGAGCAAACAAAGATGGGCAGAAGTTGAACAGGAGCCAGCATATATCGGTGTAAAAAAAAAGACAGATATTTACCAGAGATCTGTGAAGAAGATCTCAGCGATGGAACAGAAGGCCACAGACATGTCCTTCTTTGAGACGGCACAGACAGATGGCAATGCAGCCGCTCCAAATGCACTAGCCTATCAGAACACAGAACCACATGTGACAATGAAATAAAATAATAATAATAATAACTCACCCTGTCATTGTTGACTCACCTTATGTTATTCCAAACCTGTCTAATGTTATTTTTTTAAGTGGAATTTAAAAATTAATTGTTCATCCTAGTGGCTCTCAAATTCCAAAAAGGACAAAAATCACCATAGATATCAGACCAAATTTAAGTCATTATTCACTGCTCCACCGAGACTCTCAAAATAAATACGCCACCTGTTCTTATGGCTTCAGAAGACTTTTATCTTTTATTTATTTTATGTTTCTTTAACCTTTCATAGCACACATAGCACAACAGTTTTATAATTATTTATGTTGAATTATAATATTTATAATAACATTTTATAAATCTTATAATATTGTTTTTAATTTTTTTATTAATTTATTACAATAATATTTTTAACACACATTCAAGATGTTTAGTAGATATTCACAGTTTGTTATGATACATGCAAATTGTCAGCAGTGATTCTCCAGGGACCTCAGGGTTGCATAATTATTTAAATGAATATATTGTTATTAAAAGTATTAATATTATAATATATTAAAATAATCTAACTCAATTTAAATGATAAAAAACATGCAAAAAAATATTAAAATATTTTTAAAAATTGTTGGTGTTTTTTCAGCATTCAGTTCCTGATTTTTTTTTTGTTCTTTTTTAATAAATTGTGGTTAATTTATATGTAAACATTCCTAGTTTCTGTTAATAATAAAAAATAAAAACAATTAAAATGAAAGAGAAAAAAGCTAAAAATTAAAACTGGTGGGCCTTTGAATACTGTGTTATACAATACTATGGTAGCCCTTCAACACAAAAAGTTTGAGGGCCACTGCTCTACAGGACTTTATTTTTTGCTTATGTTTTATTGCCCTCTAGTGCTGAAAGATTCAACTGCATATTTAGCACTAAATAAATCCTACAGCTGACTCCTCTTTGCTCAAACTAATACAACTATCCCTCAAGACAAGTCATTTAGATCACTGAGGATGTACATTTTATGCTGCCACAATGCTCAGAGCATTATTCATAGCATCTGAATTCAATACTCGGTAATGTATGCAAGGCCTGTGTGGTCATTGCAATTGATTACAGTTTGCGTTGATGTAAAACGATGTCTGTGACCAGCTGGTTTTCAATAACTCTCTACCTACAGGAACAAGACACATCTATCCTTCTGTCTTTTCCATTTACCTGCCCTGTGTAGACAGACGCAAGCAGTGCACACAGGCATACTATGAGACCAGCTCAGCATAACTAAATGCCTCCTGCTATTATGTCAGTGCTAATTCTGTGCCTTCCAGAAAGCATTGCTCTGATTCAGCAGCTAACTTAGTAATCGATGCAAAGAAAGTGCTGTCCACTAGGAAAATGCTCCACAATGATGGAATACATCCATTATTCATTAGCCAAAGCTCTCAGGGTTCTAAACAAAATGACAATTCCTTTGTATCTTAGGGAGTGAAATTCTGTTTACATCTGGTCTCAGATAGTCTCTCTCATTTTCAGGGTTCTGTCGAACTTTAAAACACATACTACAGTCACATCATTTTACTGTGTTAACCTGCTACAACTGTATGCATACTGTGTTGTGGTTTATTCTAGCTATAACTTACTGACTAATCTCACTACTTGTATCTTTTATATTTACTAAACTAGAACTGTATGTGCAACTTCAGACCAGCACTTGAGGTTCAACCTCAGCTCTTCTCTTGTTGTATTAGCTACAGGGTTGCCAGGTTTTCACAACAAAACCCGACCAAATGCTACTCAAACTAGCCCAAAATTAGCCCAATTGCGTTTCGAGGGGGGTCCCCCATTAAAAATCGCATTCCGGGGGGTAAAATACACATTTTTTTTGGCGGGGCTCCCCGGTAAAATTCGCATTTCAGGGGCTAAATATCACGTTATTGGGGTTACTTCAACCCGCGGACATGAAAAACAAGCCACGGCAACAGTGTCAAGGTAGCCCAATTCCACGGAAAAAAACGCAGACTTGGCAACACTGACTAGCTACCTGCTTTACTGTAGGTCATCGCAAATTCCACAACATAGTGTAGACTGGGGCTAGTTGTCACACAGATTAATCCGAGTAAGTTCATTCTTCATCAGTTTCTGTACAGGCAGCATTCTGAATTTTTTCTGAATTTTTATATTATTTTTATAATAAATACAAATAAATTTTATTTATTATACAATTATAAATAAATAAATAAATAATAATAATAATAAATATATATATATATATATATATTATAATAATTTATTAAATATAATAAATAATAAATAATAATAATAAATAAATAAATAAACCTTCAGTGACAACATTCCCCAATATGGCCATTTAGACTTAAATTTAAGCTAATATAATTTCAGAGGGCTTGGAATTAATTTTTAAAACCAATAGACAAAACTAATGTTACTGAAACAAGCACTTGTATAAATGGAAATCTCAGAATATTTATTTACCTACATATAACCCTGGATTTAACTTTACTATGTGAAAATATCTCTGGTCTCGGTTACATTTTACCTGGATTTGCAAGTTCCTCTGTTTGCAAATCAGCCAATAACCTTTAGACTACCATTCAAAAGATTGCGGTTGGTAAGATTTTTTAAACGGGATTTGATAGAAGTCTCTTATGTTGAACAAAGCTGTTATTCATTTTATCAAAAATACAGTACAACATTAATTTTGCAACATATATTTACACTTTAAAAGAACTATTCTTAAAAATGTAACATATTCCTTTGATGGCAAAGCTGAATTTTCAAGAGCCATTACTTCAGTCTTCTGTGTCACATGATTCTACAGAAATCATCCTAATATGACATTTCTTATTATTATCACTGTTGAAAACAATTGTACTGCTTAATAGTTTTGTGAAAACCATGATAAATATTTTTCAGTATTCTTTAAAGAACAGAAAGTTCAAAGGAACATAATTTATTTGACAGAATTTGTTTGTTTTTTTTAAACAAATTGCTTTAAAAAATCCCAAATCCCAAACATTTGAACGGTAGTGTATAGAAATGTGTAAATGAAATAATCAAGTGGACTAAAAATCTATGTAAAATGCTTGAACTGTGTATCAGCAGTGTCTTGCCTCATTGGTGTGTTTGTCCATGACGTTGAGCATGACCTCAGTTCCTTTACTGAAGTATTGTATAGCCTCTATACCTGTGTGAATCTGCCCCAGGTACATGTACTTACTGTGGCCCTCCTCTGGACTGAGCTCCACAGCCTTCAGATACACGTATACCACTGTTAAGGACCGTAACACTCAAATACAATCACACGCTCTTCAAGAAAAGGAAAAACAAGACTAGAGGCTTCACGAGGATAGTACAGGATAAACATATTCAAGTGATTTCTATGTACTGTGGTAGTACGTGTAAAGGATATCTGTTTAGCTTTCTCTATATCTCCCAGCTCAGTGCAGATGTTCCCCATCATGTCCAGGAGGGTCAGGTTAGTGGGTTCAATATCCAGCGCTCGCTGACAGTACAGCCTGGCCATGTCAAAGTCAAAGTTGTCTATACACTCTTTAGTCTGAGAAGGAAAGAGAGGTACAGTAGTACAGTCTGAAAACAAGCACTAATATTTCATGTCTTTAAGAGGTCATTATAGGAAATATATTACCTTTTCAATTAGTTGATCAGTTGTGTATTTTCCAGCTGTTTTCTTTTTGGCTCTTTCCTGCATCTTGGCTTTCATTCTCTCCTGTGGTGACATCAAGGCACCTGGACATCAAGAACAGATTTTCACAAACCACTCACATAAGCAAACCTTCCTGCACAGGATTCAGCTGCAAAATCTGTTAAATGTGAATAGGTCTAGGTTAAGCACAGCTATGACAAGTTTGACAACCCTTCTTCAATAAACTCTACATAGCATTAATCAGATCACATGGATATTAAATGTCATGTTTACATTAAACCGTTACTGTCAAAGCAAACACTGGGGAATACTAGTGTGCAGTCTATAGCAAGAAACAGTTTTAATTAATGTGGCATTTTTAAAAACGTGTTTTAAAGTCATTATTTTCGTGAAATAAAAGCAATATGACCAGACCGTTTAACACTATAGATTCTTAAAACTGACATACCTCCAGTTGGTTTAGTGTCTTTTCTCTTAGCTTTGTTTTTCTTTTTAGATTTTGCTTGTCCGCCCATTGTTGTTAGATAAAATCTGTGAATTTATGTCACTTTTTATAAAGGGGAAAATACTTCTCCGCTAGAGGTGCGTTCACGTGCCAACGTGAAAGCACGCATGGGCTACAACGTGAATCAAATATATTGACTTCCTGTTAAGGCACATCTTTAACAAAATAAAAGTCTCTAAGCTTTTTTTTTTTTTGGTGCGTCTGTCGTTGAAACCATAGACTGTATAAAAACAGGTTGAAACGCATATAACTGCTTCTCTTCTCATTGCATTTCTCAGTGCAAGATATGTTGCTTGAATGCATCGTTGTACAAACAATGGAAAGGATTTCATTAAATACAGTTTATTTTATTCATTGAAATATTTGTAGTGAAAATAAGTGACTATACATGCTAAAATGTAAATAAATAAAAACTGCAAACAATGTTGTCTAATGAATTATATACGTTTTTAAAATGAAGTTTATTCAGTCATTTTTCATTATTAACCATTTCGTTACCAATTTATACATATCATGTGCTCACAAAATTGCCTCGTTACCCGAAGGTACCTTGCATTATGCAGTGCAAATATGCAGTGTTCATCTATTTACAATGTTTAGGTGGTAATATATCAATTATTTTCTGACCATCTATTCACTGTACACTTTTAGGTTACATTCTCGGCAATACATCACTATAACCTCTGTGGGTGCGCCTGCTTCACAGTTGGTATTTTAAGAATTTATGGCTGCCTAATCTCTTTATTATATAACATTGCTTAGCCAAGCTTTCTGTATATTCAAGCTCAGCCTCCGTATTGTAGGCGGGCACAACACACGACGTTGCCGTGTGATTGATGGGCGGAATAACCAATCAGACCTCTCCCTCGCTCGACGTCACCAGAACCTTCTCGATTTGAACCAATCTCTCACAAAGTCGAACTTGAGGTGGAGGCACGTAGTAAACAAATTGAATGGATCATAGAGCACTCTGCAGTTACCGCAGCGAGCATTTTTCATTGAATTTCTCGGTATTTTCTCTGGGTGTTGTCGAGCGGAGTTGACAGTCGTTGACTAACTTAACTTAAAACGGGCTGTCGGAAGAACGAGCTAAACGTTTGTTTTGGACGTTTAATAACGCAACAAGCCACAGACCGTATGGTGAGTGAGTTACTTCAGTGATGACATACCAGGCCTGTCCAGTTAAACAGACAGAACAAAAACCTCGAATTAAGGAACTGAATACAACATAAGACGTAAGACAGCATTCATTTCAGACACAAAGCGAACCTGTAGGTTAATAGAGCTGTTGTTACAGGCTGCGTGTTCAAAAGCTAACGTAACGTTCTTTGACGTTTTTGGCGCGAGCGTTCGATCACTCGTCGCTTGTGGGACAGTTTACGCATTTGTGGCCAATGCCACCTGCTCACCCAAGCCAAAACTTTAAGATTGAGCGGAATACAAAAGCAGGCCAGGACGAGTTCGCCAGCCACGTCGCGTGCACTACAGCGGTTAGCTGTCACAAGGATCTCTATTGGTTTCGATGCATGGTTTGAGTTAATATTGACGAAAATCAAGAACAGAAATGTCAGATACTAATAAAGAAGTAGTGGATCTGGTGTGGGGCAGACCCGGTGGCGGAGGAGTGCCTGCATCCCTCTTCCGCAGGTGGTCACAAGGTAAGCGGTCTTGATAGTTTTTGATGCTTTAATTATAGATACTAAAAGAAGTCTTACGAATGCTGACTCAGATTTTCAAGGTTGAAACTCTCAGTTTAAAGGATATACATCCATTACTTGTATTGTAAAATCTGCAGTGGTCAGCAAAGAAGACCAATGCCAAGACCATGTTACTTTAGCCTGACTGCTTGCCCAGTTATAAATTGTGATGAATTGCTAAGCTGAGACTTGTGACATTGACTGTGTGGTTTGTGTTCACTGTTTCTTTCCACAGGCTTTGTGTACAGTGAGGCTGAACGCTCTGCACTGGAGCAGTTTGAAGGTGGACCATGTGCTGTCATTGCACCTGTGCAGGTATTCGCCTTATTTTTTCTGTTCATAGGTTACTTTACAAAGGCGTGGATTTACGCATACTTCATTACTGACTAAGCATCATAAGTTATGATGCTTAGTCAGCAATGAAGTATGCGTACATCCACGCCTTTGTAAAGTCCACAATATAAAAGCTGCACTGCAGTGGTGTAATATAAAGGTTGGTGACAAATTAAAGGTAAATACAGAGAAACCAGAACCATGCCGGCATAATTTTTCTTAGTAATTACCTTTATCCCATCCTGATGGGACTGTTCAGGATTGACAATGGTCCCATCCTTGGGGCACATGGGGTCACTGATTGGTTTGATGGGTAATTTTTGACAGCAGTGAAAACGAGGCTGTGAGGGACAGAAGTACAGTGCAGGGCTCGCAAAATCGCTAGCCCGACGTCCCGGGGCTATTGTGTTTTCCTGTCGGCTACCAAAATGTATCACCACTCTGCCCGACGGGCTACCTTTAATACAGATCTCCCGGGGGTCCTTAAAAACTCATAAAGTGAGTTGTATCAAACTTAAGGCCACAAAAAAAGTTTTAAATATGTTAAATGGTATAAGAAATGTCTTAATTATAATTTCAAGAGGTCTTACAGTTGGGGATCGAAAGACAAGAGTTGCGATACGGCTGGATTAAACTTCAAAAGGCAATGATGTCATTGAATAAATATGAGTGCTGCACGTTTCAAGTCAAAACGCGGTGCGGATGTCTTTATTTGAATGTATCTGAAGGGAACATTGTTCTTTTTTTTGGGGGGGGGCTAGTTAAATACATTTTCGGGCTACCAAAATCTGAAGAGTAGCTGCCCGAAGGGCTACCAGGGATTTTGACATTTTGCGAGCCCTGCAGTGTATTTAAATGTGTATACATCACACACTTGTGATGTAGGACTTTTCTACAGTGTATGCCATTGTAAAGACACATTCATCAAGAACAATAACTATATCAGCGTCCAGACCAAAGCATGATAATATTGTTTATTATAAGTGCAAACTAGCTTTAAATGTTGGAAGTTTTTTTTATCATTCATCTACGGTGGCTGAGAGAGCTCAACGCGCTGCAAATAGAAAAAGCACCTGCAAATTAAGAAAATGACTTCATCAATTTGACAACACACACGCTGCAAATGCTCACAATACAACCAAATAAAAAAACGTGCTGCAAATAGAAAAAGCACCTGCAAATTAAGAAAACAACTTCATCAATTTGACAACACACACGCTGCAAATGCTCACAACACAACGCGTTTCTGTATTTGTTTGCGTTGTGAGCATTTGCAGCACCTGCTGTCAAACTGATGAAGATGTTTTCTTGATTTGCTGGTGCTTTTTCTATTTGTATGTGTTTTCTGAAGTTGCAGCACGTTGAGCTCTCTCGGCCACTGTATTCATCAGCTAGAAAAAAAAAACTAATTGGGAAAGGGATTCCAACAATACAGTTGTTCTGTGCCAATATCGTTATCATTGTGGTGTGGACTCTACCATTTTTTTTTTACATTTAGAACAATTTTTAAATTGTCTTAATCATTCTCATCCTTTGTGTACACCTATGGAAGATTTTTGACCAACGTCTTGGCATCCTCCACAAGGGCTGTGCAATTAATCGAAAAACAATTTCGATTTTGGCCTCCAACGATTATGAAAATACAGTAATCGAGATAAAACGATTATTGAACTTTCGCTTTCGTTCCTCCATAATCGTGATCCCTGTCCTCCACCACCATTATCAAAACACTTTTATAAGAATGGTATTGAATCCCACCAAGAGAGATCCAGAGACTTATCGAATCAAAGCCAGGGTTCATTGTAGCTGTTGTGGTGGCACTTTTTAGCCCAACACTCTTCCAAGATACTTTAAGTTTTTCCTTTAATTTGTCACCTGTCTGCAGATATAAGATTTATAACTTATATCAGTCTGCAGATTCTGCAGAGTCTGCGGTCGGAGTTGATCAATTTCATAAATCTTATATTGTCTGATGGGCACAGATTCTGATTTTTTTTCCTGACAGACTAAGGATTCAGTCTAGTTGGGAGGACATCAAATGTTTTTAATATTTTGACCCGATTTTAGAACATATTGTTTTCATTTGTCATGCATCTCCTAGCATATTTCTGCATGAGTTTGTGTAGAGAAAATACCTGAAAGTCTGCTAGTGTGTGATCCTCAGTTGCTTAGTGTTCTTTGTGACCACTTACAAAGTTGGCAAGTGTATGATACCTGCTGTTTTAAAATCTGTTCAGATTTTAAGTCATTTTTTTGTATTCCAGCCATTAGTCTTGCACTGACATTCCATATCTATCACAAATGCTGCTTGATCTGTGATTTCTGAGGATGTCTTACCCTTTTCTTTAACTCTGTTTCTGTAACACAGAAACAGTTGCTATCTGAACTGATATATAAACGTACTGAGATGTGCTTTGTTGTCAGATTGTTCCTTTTGCCTGGTTAGGTGGAGTCCTAATGATTTGTATGTTTTGTTTGTTATTTCTCAGGCTTTCCTGTTGAAGAACATTTTGTTTAACACTGAAGGCTCAAACTGGAAAGATATCTCAGGTTTGTTGTGCATTATTTTAAAAGGGAATTCCACGTTTTCTCCACTTTTGTGCACTCGATAAAACTCAGACCAGGCATGTATGAGCATCTCATACTCATCATAAGTGGCATAATAAGCATAAACATAATGTAAGTTGTGATTTAGATTATAAAGACTACACAAAGACACGTAATTTATGAACTTGATATTTAGGTGGTATCAATACATAAATTAAGCGTTATGATAGAATTCTTTTAATGCACCCCCCCATCATATTTCTGAAATGAAAGACATCATCATGAATCTTATTATAGGTTAGGGTGACCATATGTGCCATTTTCCCAGGACGCGTCCTGGCCAGGATTTGTTTTGGCTTTATTTTCCTGTTTTCATGCTTGCTGAAGGTAATGATCGAACAGTAGTTTGACCAATAACATGCAAGCATTGTACATAATGGACCAATCATGGCGTGTGAGACGGTGGGATCTACGGTCAAAGCGATGCAATTACGCGTACATATTAGGTGTGTTCGACTTAAAAGCAGTGCGGCTCAGACCGATCAGTGTTTGACATCAAAGTACCTCGAGAGCGTTTCGA